GTAAAGAGATACATCATCATTAAAGAACAGCAGTAGAGAGAAACATAGATTATTTATTCTCATTATTGGAAATCTGGAGTTGTAAAATTATTCATAAGAGGTAGTGGTCTTCATGGAACTATGAAAAGAATGAAATAAAATTTTCAGCTATTGACAAGTTTCTTTGTAGTTTCTTTGTTTCTTTTTGAAGAAAATAAGGGAGTTTTTAGTCAGTTTTTTGAGTTTTGAAGATATCAGCTACAATTCCAATGAGGAAATAAACCAATGTAGAAAAAAAAGAGATAATTTTCACTAATATGTGACAAAATTTCATTGATTACAATTGTAAACGTATCAAAAATGTAATTTCCTTATGCCCAGGATTTTACTGGATTTGTAAATTCAGTTGCATGTACACTTAACTGATCTGCATTTTTTTTTAAAAAACAAAAGTTCTTCTGTAGATCCAGAACAGTAACAACAGTAAATATCCTGGAATATGTGCCAGCCCTTCTTAAAAATGAGAGTTATAATAGATTTTAAATGAGGTATTCTAATTCATGTCCTTCATGAAGAACAGATAATTTCAGTCTTCTTAAAATGTTTTGATTTTTGGTTTTTTTTCATCTTAATCTGGAGACGTACATAACCTTCTTATTGCTGGAACTTACAAAATTGCACAGGTGAAATCTCTGTGTAGGCACCTTCTTCCTCTGCTCTTTTGTTATGTTGTTATTGGCTTCTGAATAAGGCACAAAGCTGAAGATTTGGTTTAATCCATGTAAGAGTTGCAATGTCTTCCTAAAGCATTTCATTTCCCCCTTTTTCTGTACCCCTTTTTATGGGCCATATGATCATACTACAACAGGGTGCTAGGACATCTTCTGAGAAGGAAGTAAGGCTGGAGTAGCTGCAAAGTGGGTCTGAGCAAGCAAATCACATAAAGAACCCATTTCCATCAGATCTTCATCAGCACAGGCAATTTTAGAATTGGTGCTGTCAGTAAAGAGGATAGATTTTTATTCCACTGGGTTTAGTACTTTCTCAGCCTTGCGGATTCTCATCCTTAGTATTTTAATTCAGTAAAATACACAGAAGTGTATTTTACACAGAAAGTGAAACCGAAAGTGAAACCGAAAGTGAAACTGAAAGTGAAACTGAAACTGAAAGTGAAACTGAAACCGAAAGTGAAACTGAAAGTGAAACTGAAACTGAAAGTGAAACTGAAACCGAAAGTGAAACTGAAACCGAAAGTGAAACTGAAAGTGAAAGTGAAATCGAAAGTGAAAGTGAAACTGAAAGTGAAACCGAAAGTGAAAGTGAAACCGAAAGTGAAAGTGAAACTGAAAGTGAAAGTGAAACCGAAAGTGAAACTGAAAGTGAAACCGAAAGTGAAACCGAAAGTGAAACCGAAACCGAAAGTGAAACTGAAACCGAAAGTGAAAGTGAAACCGAAACCGAAACCGAAAGTGAAAGTGAAACCGAAACCGAAAGTGAAACTGAAATCTAGAACCTGATCTAGTACCGTAACCTAGAACCCTGATCTAGAACCGTAACCTAGAACCCTGATCTAGAACCGTAACCTAGAACCCTGATCTAGAACCGTGACCTAGAACCCTGATCTAGAACCATGACCTAGAACCCTGACCTAGAACCATAACCAGGAACTTGAGCCTGGAACTGCAACCTGGAACTCGAGTCTGGAACTGTAACTTGGAATTTCGGATTAAATATGGCGGCCACTAAGTATTTGTGGTTAAATATGGCGGCGCCCATGTATTTCCGGCAAGAAGATGGCCGCGCTCTGTATTTCCGGCACCACGGCAACCGCCCGGGACTCCCCTCAGCGCCGCCCCGCCCCCCGGCACCGCCCCCCAGCCTGCCCATCACGGCGCTCCGCCCCGATGACGTCAGACGGCCGCCATTTTGTAAAAAAATATAAACAATCACATTTTTAATAAAATAAACCCAGAAACACGACAAAACGACACGATAACACAAGCACCCCACCCCGCACACACCCCGCCGACCCCGCCACGCCAAAAAACCCATCCCGAAGCCGCAGAAACAATCTCGATCACCGTCACACCTCCAAGCGCCGCGCGGCCGCGGGACCGCCCCGCGCGGACGCGAAACGACCCTCCGGCGCGTGCAGTGTCCTCAGTTTATACTCTGAAAAGGGAAATTTTGTCTTAATGGTGTCTTGGAGTTATTTGAATATTTTCTTTAAGCTACAAAATAATAAACCATATAATTTAGACTTTGGCAGCATTGCAAAGAAGAGATTTATTAAAGAAGCTGGACAGCCGTGTGCTACAATACAAGGTATTGACTTGGATAAAAGCTAAGAGAAAGTAAAGAGAGGCTTAAATTTAAAATTATTGTTACAGCTGAAGGCTAAAACCAGGAGACCTTAAAAGTTTTTGTTCTAGTCTTTGTATTGTTTTTTATAGTTATGAATAATCTCAACAGAGAAGTGAATAAAGAGAAGCAGATTTTTTTTTATGATACAGGTATGGGTTTAATAAAGAGTAGGACTTAAGAAAAATTTAAGTTTGTGAGATGGGCAATCCCATATTTACTTTTCCTTATAAAAGAGAGCAGGTAGCATGCAGGAAATACCACAGTTTTCAAAGCAAGGTTTTCAGTTTACTGGTCTTATGTCTTGTTGCCACTGTGTTGAAAAATTATGGTCTAGGGACCACTGGACGGGCTAAATGTGGAACATGATATCACGTAAAATCACATAAAATTTAGCTTTGCTAAATGCAAAGGATTGCACATTGGGAAGGAATGATAACTACAGTTAAGCTTTAAAGGATCAAAATTAAATTAATCAAGGCAGGCAGGTTATCATCACCATAGATACAGCTCAGTGGAACTTTCAGATTTTAATAAATTTTAAAAAACTAAGTAGCAGGAAATTCAAATTCATAGGAAATGAAAAAGGTATCAAACCTTTAAATTATTTTTGCACTATTATCTGAAGTACATTATACATTAGCAGTTAAACCATCTCAGAAAATACCTTACAGACCAAGAAGTGATGCAGGGAGAAGCAGCATGAATGAAAATCTTTCACATAAACATTAAAAATTTACATAAGAGCATTTATAAAGTAACCATTGATACAAAGGATGTTCAGTAGAAGCTGCTTTGCTTATCTTATGGCAAAAAATGTCATTTGATGTGATGATGCAGTTGAAAATTAAAAACTCATAAAAGAAAATGCCATGATACATAGAATACTATTAAAATATGGAACCTACTGCTAAAAGAGGCTGGTAAAAAAATTGGTATGATTCCAAAGTCAGTTGGCAATTTATATGGGTAACAATAATGCTTTATTTAGCAGCAGTAAAAATGTGAAGAGAAAATTCAATTCTGTACTTCCAGGTTTTTCCAGCCTTACTCTAAGAACTGTATTGAAGGCAGATAATTTCAAAAAGTCATACTGAATTATCTTGTGCTGTTTCTGAAGCGTTAGGTTTGGCCTTTGAATGTTAGAGAGATTATTGGCCTGTTCTAGTCTAGGATTTCCTGTGTTTTTATGTTTAAGTTGGCATGTCTGCTTGAATAAGATCTGTAAGCCAGGAATCAGTAGAAACTGAATTGTAGATACAAATGCTAAGATGTGAAATTGCCTAAATAGACTTGGGTCAGACAATTGAGAGCTTTTTAGTAAAGCTGCTATTTTACTTTAAAACTGTGCATTGCTTCCTACCTGCAGTAATGTCAACAGCAGAATTTCACCAAGGCAAATACATTTACAGTCCTTATTGTCTTGATTCAAAGTACTGACTATCTCTTTAAAACAATTTTGTAAAGAGATACATCATCATTAAAGAACAGCAGTAGAGAGAAACATAGATTATTTATTCTCATTATTGGAAATCTGGAGTTGTAAAATTATTCATAAGAGGTAGTGGTCTTCATGGAACTATGAAAAGAATGAAATAAAATTTTCAGCTATTGACAAGTTTCTTTGTAGTTTCTTTGTTTCTTTTTGAAGAAAATAAGGGAGTTTTTAGTCAGTTTTTTGAGTTTTGAAGATATCAGCTACAATTCCAATGAGGAAATAAACCAATGTAGAAAAAAAAGAGATAATTTTCACTAATATGTGACAAAATTTCATTGATTACAATTGTAAACGTATCAAAAATGTAATTTCCTTATGCCCAGGATTTTACTGGATTTGTAAATTCAGTTGCATGTACACTTAACTGATCTGCATTTTTTTTTAAAAAACAAAAGTTCTTCTGTAGATCCAGAACAGTAACAACAGTAAATATCCTGGAATATGTGCCAGCCCTTCTTAAAAATGAGAGTTATAATAGATTTTAAATGAGGTATTCTAATTCATGTCCTTCATGAAGAACAGATAATTTCAGTCTTCTTAAAATGTTTTGATTTTTGGTTTTTTTTCATCTTAATCTGGAGACGTACATAACCTTCTTATTGCTGGAACTTACAAAAATGCACAGGTGAAATCTCTGTGTAGGCACCTTCTTCCTCTGCTCTTTTGTTATGTTGTTATTGGCTTCTGAATAAGGCACAAAGCTGAAGATTTGGTTTAATCCATGTAAGAGTTGCAATGTCTTCCTAAAGCATTTCATTTCCCCCTTTTTCTGTACCCCTTTTTATGGGCCATATGATCATACTACAACAGGGTGCTAGGACATCTTCTGAGAAGGAAGTAAGGCTGGAGTAGCTGCAAAGTGGGTCTGAGCAAGCAAATCACATAAAGAACCCATTTCCATCAGATCTTCATCAGCAAAAAAATATGTGCAAAGTATTGACCAAGGGAATAAGGTTACAGAGAATGACAACTACTGGTTAAGTTTAAGACTATATTCATCTCATGAAGCTCTAAAGAAAAATAAACTCTGAGAACCTTGATAATATCAAAAGTTTTTAAAAACTACTTTTTAAACTTCTGTTCTTCTGCTTTTACAATATGAAAAAAACAACTCATAAAAATTTCATCATCTGCACTGAGCTGCCTATGCTGGTGCTTTATCCAGCTGTTAGCTTTTGCTCTCTCTCAATATACCTCCTTAGCAAAGGCAATCTTTGTCCTACAGCAGGTAAAATGAATAATAGGGGTTTTGAATTTTTGCTTTGAGTAAGACTCTTCATATATTTACTTATTTAAATTACGTTCAACTTTTTTATTTTTTTTACAAGCAAGTACCATTTTTATATTAAAGGGAAAACAATACTTTGAGAGTATTACTGCCCTATAAATAGTCAAGCCAGAGTTCTGTTGTAAAGTTGGATTACACATTTGTCTTTGGAATAGCAGAGGAAACTGTAATCCAATTTCTTAGTGGCTATATTTTTAAAAAAAACTTTGGCTGTATTGTCAAAATATGAGGGACTGTAAAATTTAAATGAGTACAATAGCGTGAATGATGCATCTTAAGCAGGAAAAATTAATGTTCATTTAAAACAAAACTCAGATTTTACCATCTGGACTACAAAGATACATAGCCCATAGGAATATATGGTAAAGTAATTAATGACAACATCCCTCACAATCATGACGATGAAATGTCTTCAGTTTAAGATTTAATCTTTTTTTTAATCCCACCTTATGAACATAGCATGTGTCCTACCAGACACATTTTTAAAATTTCAGAAGCTGGCCTACTTGAAATTGGAAGCTTTGGTATGTTTAGGTACATTTTAATTGGAAAATGTTCTTTTAATCCACTAAACTTCTTATTTAATTGAAAATCAAAAGCCCAAATTATTTTTAGTATCATCCACTTTTAATTACACATATTATTTCATTATGTCATCAACATAGTTATGTGTAGATGTAGGTAATTAATTGCAGTCAATTAATGTGGTCATTAAGAGAGATTTTAATGCAAATCAGCTTTTCTAATTGGAGCTAACAACATCCCAAGGTAGCCAGCAAAAAAGAAATTTATGTTAAACCAAGACAGGTCATCTGATCTTATGAAATGGCATCTCTTAACAGCAACCAAATTTCATATCAGGAAAAAAGGAGTCAGGCAATGGCAGTAAGTAGCTACTTCTGTGCTTATTGGTACAGTAAATGATGATATTGGTGGCTAATGTATGATCTGTTTTTCATTTCCTTGATGATAAATAAAGCTCATCTTGAAATAAGGTTATGAAAAATGCTCAGGGGAATCGGCAAAATATTTTGTTTCTACTTTATTGCCTTATGAAGGTGTCAAATTTCTAAAGTGAGAGAGCAATTTAATACAAGTTGTAGCAAGAAAATATATCTGGACATTGTAAATATTAAATATAAATTAATGTGAAGATACCATTTTTATCAGCTCTGGAAAGGAGAATTCACTGACAATCTTGGAGAATTATAAAAGAGGAAAATAAATATTACATGCAGCTTTATAACCCCAATGGTAAAATTAATGTGTAACCATTTTACTGTCCTTCCTTTTTAAGTATTATTGAGAACATTCACCTGCATTCCATGTTTACTTTTTGTCTTGAAGACTAGTTGGCAATTTCCATGCTTTAAAAGGCTTATAAAAATAAATCTACAGTTTAAGCAATAAAAAAAAAATAAATAGTGAAAAGAGTAGAATATTTTAGCAGCAATAGTCTGCATTTGCAATATTAGGGATCAGGCCTGGTAATACAGTAGATTCAGTAATTTCAAAAAGCAGGGTACATGTAAATAGTTCTCTGAGCTGTGACTGATACCTTGACAGTCTTTTCTCCATTTTTTTTGTGTTATTATTTATTTATTCTGTTATTTATTAATTAGAGTTCTTTTTTCTTCCTGTCAGAAATTGGGTTTTCATTGAAGTTCTAAAGAAATCCTGCAAACCATTTTTTTTTGTTTATAAATAACCCACTTTTAAAGAAATCTTTAAAGCAAGAAGATTATAAATATGTCTCTGTAATAGACCAAAAGTTTCTTGCTGATATGTTGACACACTTTTATAAAATGTTAATTTGCTATTCTTATATTTCTAGGGAGTGCACTTTAAAGGAACATAACTTTTATATATGTTTAGTATTCATAATTCTTTTCGTTTATTCTAAAAAAATACTAAATTTCATTGTTTGTAAGTACTGTAATTTTTTTTAAACTCTTAATTTTCTTAACTTAGGTATCTTGGGTAATAGAGGCCAAAGCAACATATGCAACAGTAAAACTCAGGATGTATCACACATTGCATTTGGGTCAAAGATCCTTGGGCCACCTCCATCTTCAAACAGAAGAACCAAAGCAAAGGTACCTGGAAAGGTAAGAAGGGCTAAATTCCCAAATTCCAACAACCATTGGCACTTTTGCAAAGGAAGATATTGATAACCAGAGGAGTTAAACTAAAGGTTTATTTCAAAGGCTTCCTCCAGAGAACTGTGATAGGTCATGGACCTCCAGTGCCAGAGATCCTGTAACATCCAGAGGAGGGCAAGGAAAATGCATGGTTGGCTCCAGCACAGGGCATGGGTTTTTTTAGCCCACAGGAGAGAAGTCTAAGGGGAAATCTGGTTGCTATTTTCAATGAATGCAAGGCTGTAGAGAAGCCAGGCCTCTTCTAAGAGGTGCCCTGAAAGGCCAGGAGCAGTGGGCCTTAATTGCAGGCAGTCTCTGACTAAATATAACAAAGATGTGGTTGCAACAGTCACAAGAGTTTAGAGAATTTCAAAACTTCTGAAGACATCAAAACTTGAATGAAACAGGCTAATCTAATTTCAGCATCAGACAAAGATGCCTCTTTCTACTGAAATTACTCTGTGATTTCTTATCATTCTTACTTTACTGAATTTTTTGTTCTAGACTGCTGAAATTTCTCTGTGTTTGTGCACATGTGTGTGTTTTTGTGTGTGTGTGTGCATGTGTGTGTGCAAACATTTTTCCTTATGACAAGAGCTATAATGCAGAGCAGAAATTACATTTCAGGATGCTCTGATAGTCAGCCTTACATGTAAGCTTTACGTGTCAGCCTTACAGCTCATGTGATGCTGTCATTTACAATGCCAGGGAAAACACCTGAACCCACTCTGCCAGCAACAAATATGGAGGATTTTGGAATCTGATCAGGAATACAGTTTTCAGTTTAACACCAAGAATAAGGGATCCAGACAACTCTTGTGTAGGAAGTCACTTGAAAGTCAAGATGTAAAATTATATTCCTTTCTCTGAAGACAAAAAGACTCCTGAGGTCTAGAACAACTACAAGTTTTAGTCTTTTTATTCTGATAAGGAATTCTAATTTTTTTGCCTTTCCTTTGCATTGTTCCATTCACTCAATGAAAAGAAAACCTTCTGCCTGCTCCTTGACTGTAAAAACTGAAGATGCCACACTGAATAGAGTCTACCATTAAGTTTTCTGAGAAGATAGTGTTTAAAAAATATTTGGGAATATATATTTGAAAAATAAGTGTAATTCATAATGTGTGATTTACCTTTGAGTATTTTGAAAGCTGTTATATTTTTGTCTTTCATCAAGAAATAATGTCTTTCAAGGTAACAAAGACCTTGGGTAGCAAAACATCATGCCAGCTTCAAAATTCAGGAATGCCAACTGAATCCATACCAGATACTGAGAAACTGGAGCTACCACTCCGGCCATGCAGTGATACTTCAGATCAAGGAGGCAAAAGAAATACTCTCCAAACAACTGAAAATGAATACCAAAATGGTAAGAGTGTAAAGCAAAGAATATGTAGACTTCTCAAACTGACAAATTTTTGCATGATTGTGCCTTTGAATCTAGGACTTAATTCTTTGTTTTTCTAATCCTTTATCTACTTAATTAATTACTGAAGACATATTCATTAAATCATGACTTATTCTCCCATATGAGGGTGAATAAATGCTCATTCTCTCTGCAGCTATTTGTATTGTGAGTGATTGAGCCAGGGATCATCGCCTGCTGGCAGTAACCACAATTTATACACATGCTCCTCTTTTCTCATGCTGTGAAAATAACTGAGCTGCTGCAGTAGTTCTTGATTGTTTTGCAGACTTTTGCAAGCCTGTTTTTTATAATTACTATGGTTTTCCCTTTTTCCATACCTAGTGTTAAATTATTCCTTCCTTGTGGCTGCCGTGCAAAATCCCCATGCTGTTTAGAAGAGGTTTGCATCCCAGTACAATGCCCCATATGCACACAATATGAGTCTTCATGGCATTTCCTTTCTGCATTGCATTTCAGACCCTGAAATTCAGACTCAGGAAACATCTGTGAGTGGAGAAGCAGATTTTCAGCTCACCTCACCACAAGTACCATCACCAGACAAAAACATTCATAGAATATTATCTCTGAAAGATGAAGCCAAACCTACATGGAAGATAACCAGTGGTACAGTACTCATTTTATTATTTTACATTTCAGTTCTATATGGTGTAAAGGACTATCTTTTGTAAATTTCAAAGGACCAAAATGCAGTTCACATAAAAAATAAATGTTTGTGTTGTGGGGGATTATGGAAATCAAGCACCCGGCAACAGAATTGCTTTTGAGCATTGATAAAGATTTGCAGGATTAAGCAGAGTACCAGAGCAGTGAATGAATATCAAAATAAAAATTCCTTGCTCTCATGATTAAAGGAAAAGTACTAAAAATAATTTATTCTTTAAATCCTTAATAAATTTAACACTGAAGACTCCAAATACGAAATGTACAAGAAATTTTACTTGTCTTAGATAGGAGTTTAGAATATTATCTACAGTATCTGTGTAATATTGGGAAGGGAGGGGTGAAAGGAGGGAGAAAGGGTTGTTTTGTTTATAGAGTTCAGTGGTGATTTATTTATTTTCTTATTCACAGAAAGACAGCTCAGCTTATGTTTTGGGTTTTTTCCCTTTCTCACCTGTCTGCCAAAAAGTGTGGATTTTTTTTATCATACAGTGTCAATCAACTTCCTTTCCATGGGTCTGGAAATTGCATTATTGTGGCAAAAGTATCCCTTGTCTCCATGAAAAAGTAGTGTTACTTTTTATTTGAAGGCATAGGCACCAATTTGAAAAGTGCTCAAATGTTCAAAATTGTTCAAGATTTTCCTTCATATTATGAGTGATTTCCATTGTGTTTATACTTTGGGGATATTTAGAAGTGATTATATACTCTGGCAGTTTCAGTAATCCATAATTGCTATTATGGGTTCCATAATTTGACTGAAGATCAAAGAGATGCAAGATGTTCAGGCAAATAGAGAATTCTTGCAGAGAATTTTTTAAGTCTTTTTCTATTTATCTGAATTATGAGAACTCTGGGGCAGGAATCACAGTCAACTTTTTCATCAAGAACACGAGGACCACAATCTAGTGCCAGAATTTTTAAAAAATTAATCAATACTTGTTATTTTATGAAAATATAGGTGATATGAAAAGACAGCCTTAGGGCAGTAGACTGGCCTGTCTAAATACCCTCTCATAAATTCAGAGGCAGAGAACTAAGGAAGAAAGATACGTGTAAACGCTGTTCTTTTGCTGTTTGGTTTTGAAAGAAAGCTGTTTCTTTATAATCTTAATTATGTGTACGTGCAGATAAATGCATTATGTAAGTTTGTAAGGAATATTCTACAAACCTTTTTCCCCAAATTTCCATTGCTTGTCACTGCTGTCACTCTCAGTCTGCAGATTTCAGTTTCTTTTCAATATATGAAGTTAGCTAATTTTATGTAGATGACTTAATGATTTTTTTTATCCATTAGTACTGGATTTATTTTTTCTGAAGAACTTTCTATAAGCAACTTCTTCATCAGGAAAGCCCTCTTCTAGGCTTTGTACTGGACTTCTTCCAAAGTGGGATAAACTTGACCTGAGAGAAGAAATAAAATGAGTGAACATTGTTTTTGCCAATCTTATTTACTCAATGCTGAAATCTTTATTATAATGTTATCCTGCAATTAGAGGCTTTAGCATAAGTCTGACTGTGCAGAAGAACTAATTAGATGTTAAGGTGGTCATTCTTGCATTTATGTTGTTTGCTGCAATGTTGTGATTACTTAGTAGTTTGTATATTTTACTCAGAAGGTACTCCAAATTATTCATTACAATTTACATGGAAATAATGAATTAAATTCTTGTATAGTTTTTGTTGGAGAGGTAATAGGATTTTGTTGGGTCCAAAACTCCCTGTATCTTTCACTTGTGAAATATTGAAAAAGTGCTACACTGACTACAGGTTACAGAAGTTGCTGGACTCTGTAGCCAGCATAAAATATCATCTTCAAATCATACAGACTTTTCTGTTTTCCCCCTGGATATTTCATTAAGAATAAGTACTGTGCTATGCAAATTAATGTTTGGGTTTTACTCAAGTATATTTTTTCAACAACTTGGGAAATTAATGGAGTTCTTTACAGAAAGAACTAAAAAATAAATATATATATACTATAAAGGTGGCTGGGACTAAAAAGGCAGAATATTCAGGTTAATATTACATAGATAGTAATCATTTTAAAGTAGTTCTTTATATTCCTGAACGTTTTTTGGTCAGGGTGAGACATTATAATGGTGACTAAAGTGTAAGAAGTTTTTGGATGTCTGAGGCAGAGTTAGAAGGCAGGAGTTTAAGGCTTTAATTGCCTCATGTTCTCCAAACACCTGACAAAAGCTGATACTCTGAGATTTCTTTTCCATGTTTTGTTACTTCATTCAAAATTGACTTAAAATCTTAAAAGCCAAGTGGTTTATCACATTGTTTCCTTCAAAATTCATTACACAGTTTTATCTGTAATGCCCTCTACAAATTAAACAGCAACAACTGCATTGGAAGTTATTCTAGAATGAGAATAGAACAGGTGAGATTGCAGTGTGGGAAGTGGGTTGTTACTAAATCAGTAGGTAAAACAACTAAGCCACTCCTCTCTACTCTTTCACAGTTCTATGTACATAAGTATTAGTGAATTCTCCTGAAGTGGGTTGTACACTAAGTGTATAATCATACCCTAGAGGGCTCTTTTCAGTGGTCTGAGCTATTAGTGCATATTTGTAAGGCAGCATGAAACGTGTCAAATCTAATTTTATGATGGGGAAATGACCCTCTGAATACTGAAGGAGTATATGTTACCTATTTTGGTGTTAGTCAAGACACTAACAGGGAAACCTAATCAAATGTTTCTAGATAAAACAAGAGTGGGTTCCAGACTGGAAAGAAAAACTACAAAAAGTTTCTTAGCTAGGTAACTTCTGAAGATTTTTTTTTTTCTCTGGTTGTTTTGAAAAATGCATCAAGTAAAAATTTTAATATCTTTGCCTTAGGAAAAAGGATAAACAGCATTTTAGACTTAGCAACTGAAATAGCTGGGAAAAAGATTCTTTACATCCAGAAGAGCTGTCCAATTGAAGTCTGGGGATAAGTAATATTTTTGTGGCATTTCTTCATAGCACTTTCTGGAGTTGTGAACAAGGCAGCATCTCCAGGGCCAAAGACTTTCAAAACAATCTCAGTCTTGGTGGGCCAGATTCCTACAGGATAAATAATTGAGTAATTGAAAATACTGATTTACTTTGACAGAGTTTTTAAATCACATTAGGTCAGAGAATCAGTTGGGAAAAAAACAGTTCCTAAGTCTTTGTTCTTGAACATCCAAATACTGTGCTCAGACTCACTTGAAAAAGATCATGAAAATATCCCTCTTCTCATTTCATTTTTATAGGGAAAATGGTGGGTTAATAAAGGTAGCTTATATGGATAGTAAAGTATAACGAAAGCATGAAATCTGTGAAATGTTCATGACTGTATTTTCTCTTACGATTTCAGTTGTTTTATTTGTGTACAACCCTTCACATGTAATTCCAATTGCCTATGAAAAATATGTTATCAAAGGAGTGTGACACAATCTTGAATGATAGTAGCCTGGATAATTCTGCTCCAATATCCTCCTTTGAAGAGCCTGTAGTTAGAGATCAGAATTAAAAGTCATTTGGTTTACTCGATGAAGGGTGTTTCCTAAAGGTTTTGAAAAGTCTCACTTCTTGATGCTCCTGGAAAAACTAGCCCAAGATTTTTATTAAATAAATGGAATCACTTGCATGTTCAGCTTTCAAGGCTTATAATAATTAAAAGCATACACTACTACATTGTTTTAAACGAGAATGATTTTCTAATTTAACAAGAGTTTACTTGAAAAGCCTTGGGGGTTCTTACTAAGAAAGGTCTTCATGAAGAGATTGAGAAATGGTCTTTTCTGGAACAAGAAGATGCAAGCCATGGTCATACAAGATACGTCAAGTTCTGACTTTTCACTGGTTCCTGGATATTAACCAGAGTTTGGTAGATTTATTAGCTGTCTTCAGTAAACTGGAAAAATCACAACAACCCAGTAAGAAGACAACTGTTTCTCCTGGCATCTCATTCTTCTTTCTTTTGCCTTCATTTATGGTGATTCAGGCTTCCTCCCACCTCTCCCTCCCCAAAGCTGCTGAATGTGCCTGAAGTGGTAATTCTAACAAAACTAAAAGTAAAATATCACATAAAGCACAAAATACCACACTGAACTTACTATCTTCTGTGGTGGCAAGCATTTTATTATTGCAATGCTACTTTATTATTATGTTTTTAGTAGTTTTTCATTGAGTTTTTAATATGGTTGATGGTAACTTTGTTTTATGGAGCTGGAAAGTTTCAATATCTAGTGAATAATCCACACCACACTACCTTTAATGAAGATAAGGGAGTATTGCATACTTGAGCAATTCTTTTTCTTAGATGCTATTTGAGATTGGTTGTAATCAATCAAATTGACATTTTTTTTCTATACCATCATTCCAAACAGTAAAATATAAGCTAACAATAAGAATATAAAAATGATCTTTTCATGTGTATCTGGTGCACTCAATCTTTAAATCCATTTCTGTAGTTTATTGTTTGTTTTAAAATTGTCAGATTAGTTGTGGCTATATTCAGGGAAACCTGGTGAAACAGATGTCTTTATACATTTTTCATGTCATACTTTTTTATCAGAACAATAGTTTGAAATTGAGATTTAAACCATAAGTTCTGAATGTAAAAGTGTGGAATTTCAGCAATAAAGAAGGAGCAGATTGCAATAGTATGAACATTCCACCAATGTGTGATTATTTTTTAAATGTCAGGTGCAAAAAATGCCTAAAGAAAAAGATCAATGGCCATATTTAATAAAATCATGCTTTCCTAGAATAAAATTCAGTTGTAGGTTTCAAATCTTGATGGCTAAACAGTTTCAGGTTTGAAAATGGCAGGCTTGCATGTCCTGTACCAAAGCCTGTATTTTTTTTTCTGAGCTCTGTTTAAAAATTTTTTATTTCCTTGCTGCACTTTGAAAGCAACATGATCTTTCTCATTACGTTCTCATCAATCTTAGCACTCATCACTCTTTGCCTTTGATAGGCAAAATATTTCTGTATTAGAAAAACTTACTTTGCTGTACAACTTTCTGAGATAAAGAGAATGATCAGAGTAGCTCACAATTTACATATTTAGCATTGAAATTGTATGTTTCAGATAAATGGGTGTTTCCAGAGAGGTTTACTGAGAGTATCCAGTTGGATAGGGAGGAGCACTTTGGAGCTACTGGAAGTTCAGCCTGCTCTAATTTACCCTCAGCCCAGAATGCCTCTGTTGAACATCACAGCAGGGAAACAGTTGATCATCACAGGAGTAATAAAGAGGTTTTCACATTTTCATCAAAACCTCGATCAGCTCCTTATGGAAAGTCTCCAAATATATCACCAGAAAGTTATGTTTTCCCTTTGAAATTGGAGCCAGACAGTAAAGGAGAATATGAGAATACCGAAACTGAAGACAGCTTTGAAGGAACTGACAGCAGTGAGGAGGTAGGCCACTTTGTACATGTGACTCTTGATAGAGCAGTCCTCATCCTAAAACTCCTAGGATGAGATTCTGTCTTCAAGCCAGACAGAGAGGATAAATCATCTTTTCCCCATATACCAACAGGTAAATTTTGTCTCTGTCAGGTTGCTGTGTCTAATGGGATGCAGGACTCAAGGCAGGTGTACCCTGTGTAACAAGCTGACAAAAGAAACATAACTCTGTCAGCCCCTATGCTAACAGAGAGATGCCAGAACTGTGCATCATTACTACAAAAAGGGTTAGGAAAGCATCATAGATTTGAGTAAGATCCAAGTCCTTCATGGTTGCTCAAGACTTCAGTAATAAGACTTCATTGTATCTTTTAAAACTGCAAATGGAACTGGTTTTGCTCATTGGCATTGTTGAAAGTGAATTACAAAATCCCAGGTTTTGAATGTCACTTGATTATTGGCATACCTGCTGCATATCCTGTCTGAGCATCACCAACTTTAATTCTTTTGCAATGCAGAAATCTTCCAGCTATGAAATTAATGAAAGCAAACAATTTTTTAGTATATCTATCTAAAATCATATGTTACTATATAGAAATTTGCTGAATTGTCAATGTATGTGATAATTTCATAATGTCATTACTGTAACTGCTAAAGTTCCTACCTTTATGAGCATTCCAGTATATTTCACTTTCAGCTATGAAACCTGTTTCTTAGCATTTGAATCTGTTGCTCACAACAGAGAAATACAATGTAACTGAGTTGTATAATAGCAAGATGGACTGAATTTAACTGTTTTACAAAATAACTGAGGGAGTAAACTATAAATTTCCCAAATGTGTACCATCAATAAAACTGAGGGATTATCTTTTTAAATGTATGTTGCATGCTGTGCAATCCTGGACTCACTGAAGTCAGTAACAATCTTGGATCACATTCATGTGCAGCAGGATTGCACCTCAGCTGTGAGAGGTGATACTGCCTCACATCCTGTGTGGGAACATATGCCAGAGGAGCAGCATCACAAGATGAAGATGAGGCTGCTCTCTCCTTTCTTTCTTGAGGCTGCTCTCTCCTTTCTTTCTTGAGAATAAGAACATTGAGACAAACACTAGATGCACTCCTGCATTATTTCTCTTTCCATCAGTTCAGTCCTGCTGATTGTTGTTGAGATAGGGTATGAGTGAACATTATACACTTGATTCATGGGATATTTTTCAGAGACATTGTTAGAAACATGGATATAAGGTTAATAAACTAACCTCTAAAATTCTTAAATTGTATTCAAATGGCAATGAATATGATATCTAGTATGATTACCAGAGCAGAACAAAGTGATCTCAGCAGGAGCTATTTCTTCTACATTTAAGTTGAAGATGCAATGTGAAAATATTGAGTATTAATAATTCAATGGAAAGACATCATTGTCATGGACTCATTGCTTAGTTTTGGTTTACAGTTGTAATAAATTCTATTGAAATTATGATTGTCAGGTAAGAGACAAACCTATACTGGTTTCGGAGGTTACCAGCGTTCAAAATCTGGCCTGAAATTTTGAAAAGAGTAATCAGCTTCAGATGTAAGAATATGTTTATGGTATAGTCAATGTATTTGCCAGGAAAAGCAGCTGTTTTTCAGAATCCTGGTAAATTTAGAAACAGGAAGAAGAGATTAAAGAGAGATTTTGATGTGTTAAGGTTATGTAAAACTGAATTGTGTAATGATGAGAGGGAACCAACCACTCTTGCCTTGTTTCCTAAATTTAGGATGACAACAGTGAACTCATCCAAGGTACTATGAACATTGAGAACATCCACAGTAGACAAGGAACATCTGATTCAGCAGTTTTTAAAGAGATCCCATTAAATAAGATGTCACAGAGAAATGAATACTGGAAGAATAAGGAACACGGCAAATATAACTTCAAAGAGGACGTCTTATCAAAACCACAGAGTTCCACTATGGGAAAAACAGAATCTATCAGCTTTCAGAGAAATTTAAAGCCTATCCTTTCTCTTTCTCCAATTCAAAGTAGATCCAAATCCTTTAGAGTAATTAGAAATTTATCTGAAGAAACTGAAAGATATGAAGGAGTTTCAGATCAATTAGAAAGATCTGTCAGTAAAACATCTCTCAAGAAAGTCTCTAAAGGAAATTCATGTCTGACAGCACAGACTTGTGTAAGTGATTTTTACTTTGAAATGAAATTACTAGATTGTATAGAGAAGCTATATTAGATATACCCATTTGCATGAAGTGATTAATAGTACATCTTTCATTCAGATATATTCTGGCTTCATCATAACAGCATTAACTGTGCTCAGTCTGTTGAAAGTTGATTTTGTAGGGGTTTGTGGCACACAAAATAATACTCCAAATATAACAGAAATCACAAAGGTTTGTAGATAAAAGGATGTGTCATTGAGCAACTCACATTTTGGAAATATATGAGTTAGAAAATAGTTTGGGACAGAAAGGTTGCTGAGGAAAATTGGCAGATTTTAAATTGCTGTATTACCAAATGACCACAGAAGGAGTGTTAATTTGGGTGCTTCATGGTCTCTCTGTGTCAGCCCTGAGCAATGATAAATTATGTGATGGAGAGCCAGCAGTGAGGCAGCTTCTGTCCAGGTGAATTTCAAACTTAAACTGCTATTTGTGGGAAAAAATATGTATCTTAATTTTTTTAATGCATTTTCTCATTTCTGGTGCTTTCTTATTCTTCTGTTCATTATAAAAAACAATGAATTATTTTAATTCATTTTCTTACCTGTGCCACTTCCTACTTCATGGCTATGTATCATATTCCCCTGCAGGTGTCTCTTTTATAGGTCTAGGAGTTCTATGGTCCCAGAATTGCTGTTCTGTAAATTTTTTTGGATAATTTTACCCAGGGATGTTGAATAGAACTACTGCATGATCATTATTGTAAGCATGGGGTTTGTTTTCTAGAATCTTGGATATATCTTGAATTTCTTATCATATCACTGGACCCAAGTATTGCACACCTCTAGGGACCAAAAAATAGACTGTTCTCTTTTTGTGGGGCTCTATGAAGTAGTTATGCATTGTTAGTAAACATTTTTCTACTTTAATGTCTTGGAATATGATCTGTACCTCATTTACATGAATGAAATGGACATCTATAATTTTTGTCTCCCTGTAGTTTGTCTCATCTGCTGTAGGAAGGGGAGTGTGCTGTGATTCTGCTGAGGGGAATTTTGGTCTGTAACATTTTTGTGACCTGTTGATACAGTTCATTTTAGTTACCTGATTTGACAGCCTCTGTGAAAAGGGAAGCAGGAGTGATGACTTCCATGGGACATGGTTGCTGCTGCTGGGGCAGGTCCATCCCACTGAAAGGTTCTGCCTGCCTGCCTGGGGCTGCTGTGGCTGCTGAGGATGGGCAGCCCTGCAGTGAACTCTGGGTTTGGAAGTCCAGGCACGGAGCTGGGAGGATCAATCTGAATTGGACGCCAGATTAAAGAATAGTGTCTAGGAAAGCATCTGTTCAGCTTTAATGTGTGGCCTTGATGGAGAAATACTCATCCTGCCCTGCCAGGGATGCTTCAGTGCTTTTTGTGAAATGGGTCATTTAGTACTGGGACAGTGGCTGGGTTTTACGTGTCTCTCAGTGCTGTGAGGGTGTCTCTCAGACTGGGGATTCTGGAAATCTCTTCCTGTGTCCTGTAAGCAGTTTATTGGATTGGTGAAGGCCCTGTGATTTTCCTGATGAAAACAGAACATCTGTTTCCATGAAAGTTGTGGAGACTGGTTTCCTTTGGGAAGGAAGTAGATGAGGGGAAAGCAAGGGGAATGAAACACAATAGTGCAAGAGAAAATCAAAAGTAGTGCTGAGACTTTATTATCATGAGAAATATCAGTGGCTGGTGATTTGAAAGACTATGAAAAGCAAAAAAATTAAAAAGAAAAGGAAAATCCTATTTATAGCAGCATATGTTCTATCTATTTATGATCTGGAAAAGACATTAGAATTGCCACTAGTGATGTAGAAAATGTGGAAGAAAGCAATGCATGGGTTCATTTCTATTTGGAAAGAAGATAATGTTTCTGTAATTTTCAGTGATAGGAAAAGCCCCAGTTGATACCAATAAACTGATTCACTTTTTCTTAGGAAAATAATTAGACTGTGTCTAAGGACACAGTCGTAAGCTGCACTGAGGAAAATACACGTTAGACATTAGGAAAATGTTTTTTACAGAAAGGGTGACAAAGTACTGGAATGGTCTGCCCAGGGAGGTGGTGGAGTCACCATCCCTGGATGTGTTTAAAAAAACATTGGATACCATGATTTAGTTGAGGTGTTAGGGCATGGGTTGGACTCAATAATCTTGAAGGTCTCTTCCAACCTAGTGATTCTGGGATTGTTTGGTTAAATGTATTTTTTTTTGCTGATACTTTCTGATTTTAGAAAATTGTTTCACTTACAATTCAAGTATGTTTATTACTTTTCACAACTGTAACCTATTTGTCCATAATAAATGAAATTATACATGTCTTACTTTCTTGAAAGTATCATCAGCTTAACGCAGTCATCAACTTTGTCCTTTAGAGAACAGCTAAATGTAGACTCTCTAGGTGGATTGCAATAGGTGATTACTAATTTAGACAATAAGGTTATTACCATAATGCACTTGTAGCTGTAAATGTATTGCACATGTGATTTGTTGTTTGTAAGTATTTTTTTCCAAGAACAAATCCTATTGTTAATGTATAGAAATTCATTAGCTACAGACTTTGTTTTATTGCTACAAAATATAAGATTAAAGTATCTGGCAGATCTAGGTCTTATTCTTGATTTGATCAAGTCTTAAAACTTTATGGAAGCCCTTCCTTGGAGTTTTTTGACACTTCTTTTTGTGCTCATACAGAGGACTAGTAGAGGGAAAAAAAGTGCTTAACCAAGTCTTCTGCAATTGATTTGCCTGCTGCTTAATATGCTTTAAGGACCTGGTTTCTTGCAATGTTTTATTCATGTTTTAATAGAGTTCTCTATTATTAAGTTCAAATATTTTTAATTAAGAAAGAAGTATAGCCCTCTGGGTAATATTGCAAGCATGTAGATAGCTGGTAATTAAAGTTTTCCACACGTATAACTACATTCAAACAATTCTGAATAAATCATTTGAACCTAGAAGAATGCAAATGTCATTATATATGGAAAAAAAAATCCTTTAAACAACAGGTTTTATCAATCTAGCAAAAGTTTTAAGTGCTTAATAAAAATACTTTATTGTAAGGGAAGGATATGCAAATAGACAAGATAAGCTTTTAATTACTAAATGAAATATTAATTTTAGGCAAATTTAAGAGTATTGAAAAATTACTTCTTACATCAAAAGATTGTCCTAAATTACAAAGTTAACTTAATTTCAAATTCAGTTTTCAAATTCTCTCTCTTTGAAAACCAACGAAGACAATATAAAATTTTTGAAGAGTCTTTTGGTAGTAGTCATCTGAACTTGAAGAATAAATATTCCAAACTATTTCTCCTTCATTAGTTTATTGTAGGGGAGTTTTAACACAGAAAATATTCATAGCATCTCTTCTTCCTGACTGTGGTATTTTCAGAGTGAGACCATTACAAGAAAAGAAAACAGAACGACAATTTAAAATAAGCTGGGGAGGGGATGGGGGAACAGCAGATGTTTAGAATCATGTTGTAATAATTCCAAAAATCTATGCATCTTTCTTCATAGATGTAAAGGAAAAGACAAGCAAGTTTGGGCACATTTTTATGCTTTTATTAAAAAGAGAAAGACAAAGAAGTTCTTTCAGTAGTTAGCACTTTTATTCTGCAGAGCACCAGTTCATTCTGTCAGTTTAATGACTGCATACGAATTATATGAAGGAAGAAAGATAAGCCAAAGCTTCTCCTATAATATTCAAATAACTGCAGAAGGTTGATATATAGGAAAATTAACAGGAAATCAGCATGTTCAGTAAGATCAATAAAAGTTACAGCATCTGCTGATTTGGTCGAATACTGATACATGAGAATCCCCAAGCATAACTAAGAGAGCTTTGGGTGAGGTGAACAAATGACTAGTAGTCACAGAGCTACTAAAAGGCATTCAGAAATGGTCTAGAGAAAACATCTCATATTATTTTAGGATTAAAAATAGTAGTAGTAATCACAGTATTCAGAAATTAACCTCATTAGTCGGGGTAAAAAAGGAATGGTACCTGTGGAAACTACTTCTGTTATCTTATGCTTTGTACATTCTGTTGTCTTCTTGTACCTTGTATCTTAAATACATAGGAAGAAAGCAAAGGAGTTATAATTTCATTATAAATTTTGGTGGTAAGGTGACTTCTGTACCCCTCAAAGACACACTAAAACATTACACACTGCATTTCATAGAAGGAAAAGTCAATGTTCATATCACCTGTACTGCTGACTTGTGGTTCTTGAGGTCTTCAGTGACCCAGTGCCTTCTCTCAGCAAAAGAGACTGAGAGATCCTCCCTTCTGCCAGGAATATGATACATTCCTGGTCTAAAAGCTCCATTCTCTTCACTAGAATCAAAGTTCTGTCCCTCTTTGGGATACTGTTATATAGTATCTCTCAGCCCCCTGGCCAAAATTCCAGTGATCTAAATCCATTCAAGTCCTGGTCACTGCCTGGATTCACTTTTCAAGCAGAAATGTTTTGTATTTACATTCAGAAGCAAAACTAAATGTCTTAAGTATTAGACTTGTTACTTTGTGAAAGAGCAATATATATGGACCCTTTAAAAATGGGAAAGCTTTCCTTAAAGAAGGAATTATTTAAACAAAGATAGTGCAAACAGCAGGTTGGGTGACTTTACTTAAGGTTTTGAGAGAGGCTTAAGTACCAGATGCAAAATGGTTCGTATGAGCTTTTGGCCTGTGGATCAAGTTTGTTATAACAATTAAGGTTACATTAACAATTCCACCAGTGGATTTAAAGAAAAGCAAAAAGACATTAAAGTTTACTTGAAAATGTATACACTAGCAGGCTTCCAGAATAACCTTTGATATTTAGTGTTGATGTGGCTTTCCAGAGAAATTTTATGCTGTGCTTGACCAATAACTAAATGTTACATTGATGGTGTTGATGATACTGTAATAACTGTGGGATTTGCTTTAATTCAAGATTTGCATTTAATAGCTATGGATTTTTGAACTTCTTAAAGCCTGCCTTTATCTTCTGTTTTTAATTGCAGTGGAACAGCAACTTCACTAAACACCATGGATCAAGACTGCCATTCGTTACAGTGCTTGTGGTATTCTTCCTTCCTCTAATTGTGTGTAAATATGCTTGATCTTCATAACTGCAATCTCTTAACTAATTTTTTCTAGTAAACATTTTGTTTCTCTTTCACTATTGAAGCTTCTTGAAGATTCTCTGAAAAATTCTCCAAGGTCTCTCTGTGTTTCATTCATCTGTTCTATTCTGTGATCCTGTCTATATTGTTGACTTTTCTATTTGATTTCACAGGAGTATGACAGGAAAAAGTACCAGTCAAATAGACTGAGTTCATCTGAACTACAGATGCTGGCCAGCATGAAGAGCCAACAAAAAGAATTATGGGATGCTGGAATCTCCCATGGGCTGAGCACCTCAAAGACCAATTGCTGCAATGTCAACATAAGTATAAGCAGTGATGATGATACAGCAACCTGGAACTCTTGTTCCCCATCAGTAAGTATAAACCCACAGTATTTCCTCAGGGGTCTTGAATACTAACCTAGAATCCTGAATAATAGTGTAGGCTGTACAGTTCGTCACAATAGTGGCTGACAACCTGCAGGTGTGTGATATAGTACTTAAGAATAGTTCCAAAATGAATGAAACCCAGATATACCAGTCAGCAGCTGCATTATAGTGTGAGTAATGGAAAATAATTGCTTCTTACAATGATAAAGTCTCATTACTGAAAAGCTAAATGTTTAAAGAATTGAAGCAGGAAAAAGCAGCAAAAAGCTGCAGTAGTTCTGAGCACTTAGTATGTGATCATTATGTATTTTACACCTTGGATCATTATTTGTCCTGGTACAAAGTGGTACAGAATCACACACAGCTGCACTATGTGACAGTACTACTATAAGAAGCAGAGTATTTGTTGCAGTCCACCAAAAAAGTATTGAATGTATGAAAGCACAGAATAACATTTCAGGAACTCTATAAAGGTACTAGCAGGAGTTGCTGTAAAACTAGATAACCTCATACTCCATTTATATATCAGCAATATAGCTGTTATTTTATTACAGTTGAAGCAGTAATAAACAATGAATGTGGCTTAAGTAAAGCACACAGTACAATTCTGAGGCAAATCCAGCGTTAGAAGAGTAAACACAGCTGTGTTGCCCCAATATAAACTATTGCAGAGTTAATGCTCTAAAATGTTAGGTGCAAATTACTTTCAAGGTTCTACAGGGTCCAAGTAGAGGCCTGTAGCAGCAACTTCCCAGAGTTAATGATCAACACAGTGCTGGAACTTTGGAGTACCTGTTAAATGAAGGCTTCAGATGAGGTGTGTTGATAAGTGAGTAATTGTACAAATAAGAACTTGACTTACAGAGTAATATTTTGCAGGACATCAGAGAAACATTAGTTGGCATTAACTATTTGATGTACATCTCCATTACACATTTTGTTAATTTAATATTTCCAATGTGTTTTCTCCATGCTCATTAGATAGGCTCAAACATGGTACAAAACTGCAAGACCAGACAAATGGAACTCAAACTCAATTAAATATAGAGAATAGCAGTTTCTTTATTTTTTCAGTAGTTTAATTATATGGAAATTAATAAGAATATTTAGACACATCAGATTTGGTTAATACAAATCATATGACTGAAACAAAATGAACTTTTAAAGGAAAACGTACTGCTATAGTATTCAGTGAAGTACAATGTGACTGCAAAGACTGCTCTGTGATCTTACTGTCTTGGTCACCTTCTGTAGCTAAAATTGTGTTTAGATATAATATGTTAGCAATATAAATTGCAATTTAATATAGACGTAGTTGTTCATAACAGATCTTCATGGCCATCTTCCTCCACATAATTCAAGCATAAAAGGCCAGATTTTGTCTTTGAGAGAGTTCTTCACATTTCATTCAGCTGACTGAAGAGTTTGGTGTGCCTTACGCATTCAGCCTTGCCAGATTTCTCTTCTGCATTCTGCAAAGTGGACATTGAGGGTTTAAGATTAAATGGCAAGAACCTAATTTCAAAGGAGGGATAACTTAGAAAAGAAACCTAATCTTTCTCAGATTAAGACTAACAGCTTAGTCCAGCACAAAACCAAAGACATTCAGCTTTCCAGGTCTTCCATACCCATTTACCTCAGCCTTTATGGAGAGCAACACTGTACCAGTACAGTGTCAGTCAGTCCCCAGAATCTCCTGTTTCACTTCGTATTTCCCTTGCTGAGACACCAGCCAGAGCACCAGCTCTTCATAGATATGATGGAAGTTTTTTGGGCATGGACTTGTGTGTTTGACATTTTACTTGATGTAATTCTGTTCAAACATTTGGAAAAATGTGAGTGTCTATGTGAGAGTGATAATTCACTTTGTAGACCTTTGGTATCTAAGAAGGCTGCTAACAACATTTGTTAATGGAGGTGATTATTTAATCACCCCACATTCTTTTAACACAGAAGCTTTTAAATGAGTAGCTGGGGGAATTGTTGGTATGCTGATGTTAAATGTCAGTATATTTTGATATGCTTACAACATTTCAGAAGACTTGAGAGTAGCAGTGCTGTGCCTGTATTCAAATGGTTAGCTGAACTGGAAAAGTCTTTAGTCATGCATTCTCTTTCTGTGAGACCTAAAATCATGGAATTATAGAATACTTTGTATTGGAAGGGACCTTTAAAGGTCATCTATCTAATCCATCCCTCCTACCAAGGGGAAGGACAAGGAAACCTTCCACTAGACCCAGTTGCTCAGGTCCCCATTGAAACCGGCCTTGAACATTTGTAGGGATAGGCAGTCACAACTTCTCTGAGCAACCTGTTCCAATGTCTTACCACCCTCATGGTTAAAAAAAATAAGTTCTTCCTATCATCTGGTCTAAATCTACCCTAGTAGATTAAATTTAGTTTAAAACTGTTGCCCTTTGTCCTACCACAACGGTTTTTTAGCTAAAAGCTCTAAAAACCCATCTTTCTTGTAAAGCCTCCTTTAGGTACTAAATGGTTGCAGTAAGACCTTCCCAGAGCCTTCTTTTCTCCATGCTGAATACCCCAACTCTCTCAGCCTGGCTCCATAGGATAGCTCTTCCACTCCTCTGATAAATTTTGCAGCCTCCTTCTGGACTCACTCCAGCAGGTCCATGGCTTTCCTGTACTGAGGACTCCAGAGCTGGACACAGTACCCCAGGTGAGGTCTCATGGGGGCAAAGGGGCAGAATTCCCTCCCTGAATCTGCTGCCAATGCCTCCTTTGGATGCAGTCCAGGATTCTACTGGCATTCTGGTCTGGCAGATCATGTCTAGCTCTTCATCCTCCAATACCCCTTCTCCACAGGGCTGCTCTCAATTTCTTCATCCCTCAGTACTAGTTAACTCAAAATTTCTTCAGCTTCCAGTTTTTATAAAGAAGTGTTTCTTACATATGTTTATTCCTTATATATATTTATTATGTAAAAAAACATGTAGAATAAAAGCAGCTTTCTTTTTATTCCCTGATCTTTAGTACCACCATCCTTTGAGTTAAGAGAATTTTCAAAAGCTCAGTCCTTCCAAAATAAGATGTACAGGCTGCAGAAAAGTTTATAGATATAGATCTGTAGCCATCTTCTAGCTGCATAGGTAAATTATTTTAGCAGTGCAGTATATAGAAAATAAATAGAAATAACCCTCATATTGGAATTTGAGAATTTAAGGACAGCTTGAAATTCTTGTCGTGATTAAATTTTCATGCCTACATGTGTTTCCAGGTTGTATCTTTCTGATTCTTTAAATTAGTAGTTTCAATTGCTTTCTCTTATGTTTTTCAAAGATAAATAAGGAGTATTTTCTTACAAATTTTTCTTCATTTTATACATTTGTGTCCTTTAGGTGGAATCTATGGCAACAGCACCACCAGAAGGCAGCTTTTTGTGTATCTTTAATTTGGAAATACCTTTGATGTTTTGCAAGGCAGGGCAGGGTATAATCATGTTAGATAGTGAATTTATGTATCAAAGTAATATTCTATATAAAAACCACATTCTAAATGAGATTAATTTTTTTCATCACTTTACCATTTTTAGCGAAAGTCATTGAAAAGTGTCATGTTACTGACTTTAATGAATCTGAGAAGCCCTTGTGAATGTAAAGGCACATAGATCAATCATATTGATGAGCTGCAGTTAGAACAGATGTCCTTAAACAACTACAGAACAGAGATACTAAAATTGTGGGTTTATATCCTATGATAGTTTACCAAGAACTGAATATATGCTGTCAGGAGAAAATGTTGAAATGTAAGTGGTTTAGCTGCTGCTGTAAACTATGACAGCCAAACAGGAATAAAATCACTTTGAATATTATACATTACCCAGCACAGCCTCAGTTATAAATATGAAAAACTTCTACTTTAAAATGGGTTTACTTTGAAGGAGAATTGTAAACCCTTGTAAAATGTGTGAGGGGCACAGTTTCAGTTCAATAATATGTGTATGTAGAGCTAAATATTTTAAAATATTTTATTTGACCATGTCTTACGTAAATGTTTTCTTAAATCTTAAGATCTGTGAAAATCCGTGCTGGATTTGCAACACTATGAAAGACACAGTTCTATATATTTCAGAATTTAATGTGAAGTTTACACCCACACATATATACATTATCCAAGAAAATTTGCAAAGCTTACAAAACATTTCTTTTTAAATGCCTTGCTTTATTCTAGAGATCCTGTAAAACTTTCTTGCCCTGTCAGAGAATTGGCCCATACAGCTTCTTGGATAGTTGTTTCCACACTTCAGACACTAATTTAGATACAACACAAACATTCTGGAGAAAGATCATCTCTACAAGAATCATACAAGGATATCTGACTGCATATGGTGTCTGTTTCTCAGTCAGAAATACAAAGGAGAAGGAAGAGTCTCCTAAATGCTCACTGTTGCATCCTGGAAGCTTGTAGTGGTATAATAGTGATATAATGTTGCATTAGCAGAATCCAAATTATGCCCACCACTAAGACATGTCTTTCAAGTAAGGAGTACTCACAGAGAAGTTTACTTGTTCCACAAGGAATTTCCTAAATATAAATTCAGTCACATAAGTCTTGTCTGAAAAATATTTAAAAGACTACTTCCAGGTTCATATCTAATTTGTGGATGGTCTTCTGGCTTCCTTTGTTAATTTTTCATGAAAAGAAAGCCACTTAACACAAAAATGGTCTGGCAGAACTGAAGTCTGACAGACAAGAGTGTTATTTAAACCCAGAATTATGCCAACTGCGAGCTCAGTTTGACAACCCCTGGAGGGATCTGTTCACATCAAGTCAAATTGCAAAACTGAGGCAGAGTATTCTTTACTATGAAATGAGACTAAAAATTATTTAGACAGACATTCTGCTTCATAGACTGACTTATTCACTCTCTGTCTTGTCCTCATCTTCCACTAGCTATCATCTGGGAATTGCACTATCCACCACTGGGCAGTGAGTCATAGTTGGTAGTAGGATGCCATTCATCCTGAACATATATTTTACAACATCCCTTTCCATTTTCTGAAACCATGAGGACATACACATTTGTATATTAATTTTTGTTTTAAAAATTGATTTCATAACACATTTTATCATTTTAGGATTTAATGTACTAAATTGTACAAGTATTCATGTATGCTTACATTTTCACTTCTTTTCCATTTCCTTCAATGATTTGTTCAGAACTGCTTTTGAGGTGTGTGATCATGGCAGGGAGTCTCTTCTGATAGAACTACATATATTCTGGGAGAAAATGTATTTGTGGATTTTAGAATTCTTTAATTTTTACATCAGTTTATGAATATTGATCTTTCTTGAAAATAACTCTTTTTAATGTCATAAACCAAATGTAGTTTGAAACTTTTGGGGCATGTACTTACAATGGGTAGGTAAGATTTGACTGGAAAATTATCATATTTTGTATTAATATTCATATAGTCCACTGTTAGCTATTCATGAACAGCTTAATCCAGGCTTCAAAGCTGCAATGCCATGGAGAATCATATGTGCTTCAGTAACCTTCATTTGGGACTGCTAAAATTACTGTTATTGTTGCTTCTAACCTGCTCTGCCAGCCCTCTTACACCTCTCCCTTGGTGTTTTCTACTCTTAAAAATGGTTCATTCTGCACAGGTCCCACCAAGAGATCCTTCCTCACGCTTTGTACACATGTTCAATCCAGACTCTTCTGTCAGACAAGACTTTACCACCCTCCATCTCTTAAGTTCCCTGTCTGTCCCAATGCTCTCACAGGCAGCAGAGAAATAACTGTGTGATCGACTTCTTAATTCATATGTATTTCCACCCAGACAAGAATCATCTTTAAAGTTGTACTTTTGTACAGTTTGGACCAGAATATCCATTTTTAATTTCACAGATAAGAAAAAAGACTGTAAAATTCTATTATGAGAAGCTTCAAATGTATGTGCTCATACCAGATCTCTGACATACTTTTAAACAATCTATTATTTTTGTTTTCCACAGCCCGTCAGTCAGGAGCATCACTATCAGAAAGAAATGAGCCCACTTTCTCATTCCAGCCCACGGTAAGATTCCATTTATAGCCCAGGCAGTAAGGATTCAGTTAGAGTGTTCTGAATATTAAATGTGACACTCTTTGATTTAATCTTCAATCTCTTTTCAATTGCAACCTCCTCTCAGAGGGCTTTATTGCTCGTTTTAGTCATTGTCTACAGTATGTCTGAGCTGTCCGGGAACACAGAACTGAATTCTGCATGTTTTGGATGTACCACTGTGTATTTAAAGTATCTGACACAGGCCTTGCTCCTACATCTGCTTTGATGTGTGATTCAGCAAATCGTCCCCATCTCACATACATACACTCTCATCTATTTCTTTCTCCCTCTTTACTTTGAAGGCTTAGAACTAGAATTCTGTATGCGACTGTAGGTGTCAGGGAATCAATTTGTTCCAAAAGATTTTAATGCTACTTTTTAAGAAAGGGGATTTTTTTATAATAGATAGCCCAGATAGGAGAGGGGCTTACAACACTCTGGGGTAGAGCAAAGGGATCCTGTCTACAGGATCTTTTATCTGTCAGGTTTTAAGCTTGATCTGCTTTGTTTGGAATCAGCAACAAAATCTCTGTGACTTTAATGTAAGATGAGATGACAAGGGGAGAAGGTGGCTAAGGAAAATTAATCACATTGAGACTATTAGACAATCAAGATTAATTATCCAGTTTCAGACCTGCTTTGTAACTGTGAAACCTTAACATCACTTTGTCAATTTTTTAACTGCCTGAACAAGAGGTGTACTAATTTTTAAAAGCAGTCCTATTTCACTTTCACTTGGTGTCATTAATGTGGATTTTGCTTGTCCAAGTTTTAACTGGATGATGTATGGGTGTTGCAGGGCAAGGATAGGAGGAAAGGACATTTCAGTTACAATTTCTTTTTATTTTACCAACAGTCTGAAATTTTTTATGAGAGCTCACTGTCAGACAGTTGTGCAGTATGTGTTTCTCTTCACACAGATGTTTTCAGCCACTTGTCTCACTTGCTATCCATATTTTTATTGACTCAAAATCTTCTGATTAGATTTTATGAAGTGAACAGTCTGAAACTTTCTGTGCCAGTTCACCCAGATGCATCAGTTATTGCAAAACACGGCCATATATTTCCAATATATTACTGGAGTTAAAGACTAATCCTGGATTCCTGTTCCCTTTCACATGTAAATCAAGGTAGTTTGTCTAGAAGACCTCTCTGCCTTGGGTGATGGTTGTCTAAAGAACCATCTCCTTACAAGTTGTTGAATGGATCAAGTGGACAGAGATAATTAACTTAAGACACAGAGTAAAACAGGAGGTACCTTGAGACAGAACTTTGGACTCTTGATTCCAAAATTGGTTTTATAGTTCTGATGTCATTATAATTGCCTATATTTTAGTGCAAGCTACATTGCTTGTCTTCTTTTTGCCCATATATTGGTTAAGTCAGGTTTTATTAAGTTATTTTTATGCATGTGCTAAAGCAATTTGGTACTTGGTACATTTTATATACTGAAAAAACAAATAAATACCATTATCTGTAAAAAGAAAGTGTTTGATCATATCAAGTTAATATGATCAACAATGAAAACTTGTATTTCCATATAATAAAATTTAAAACAAAATAGTATAATTTATTACTTAGTTCTTATGCTATTTTAATCCAGTACACACAGTAGACTTACATTACATTACTAGAAATAATTTTCGAGAAATGCAGGTGGTATTCATAAAATACCTGACTTGCAAGTGCCTCATAAATTCAGTAACCCTTGTGAGCTGCCAGAAAAGCATTATTGGGCTGTAAATACAGAAGATGACAAAATTATGAGGTCAGTTTGCATCATGATATAAAAACTGGAGATGATGTGACTCGAATACCATTACTCACATCGTTACCTTTCATTTATAATGGAAAACTGTAATGTTTTTCACAGACAATGTGAAAATAAAATTAATGGTAATTCCATAACTTACTTCCTTAACTGTTGTTAAAGGCAATTTTAACAAATCCTGTATAAGCAACTAGAAAATATCTAAAACTTTGTAAGCCTACTATAGCTTTGTAGGGAACACATGGAATCTTTGAAATACAGCCCCTTTAGGTGTGTGGGTGTAATTGCTATGGTATAAAGTGTTACATGGTGCATTTACTGAATGAACAAATAGTTTGTTGTTAAGAGAGGTAAAGAACAGGTCTTGAGTAATTTCTTAAAGTGTATTAGTGGTATTTTCTGGGAAATTAAAGGGGACCAGTGTGGAAGCTATTGTCCAGTAAATGTAGGTTCTGTCCATAATAAGATAAAAGGACAAGCCAGGAAAGAAAGCCTGTGAAGGTAATGGAAATTCAGTCAATAAAAAGACTCAGCTCAACTCATTGTCCATTGGTTCCTCTGGATAAAGGTCATAAGTCTGCCAAGAATATTGCTCCTGCCATACAAATCACCCCACCTGGTGCTGCTCTGCAAGGCAGAGAACCAGTTAATGAAAGGAGACAGCTGAGTGCAGAGGCTACAGAGCCAGGAGCATGAGGTGATGTGCGGTGTTCTGGCCCTGGCCATGCAATTCCCACAACTGATGTGCTGCTGCCAGAACTCGGGAATTGCTTTCTTCTCTGCAAATAGGGAGCTGTAACTATCTGTGTTGCTTCTTCCTCCACTGCAAGGACTACGTTTTGCTATATAACCGGCATCTGCTTAGTAAGATTTTGTCCTCCAAACTATTTGTGCATCATAGAAGTTGCACTAAAGGAAATCCTGGAAGATAGTAAGTGTTCTAGAATTTCAGCCATACTGAACTGTGATATGCAGAGTTGCTCTCTGAAAAAGATCTCTTGAACCTAATTCATTAATAGACTTTTATAAACTTCTAAAGATGATCTCCAGAAAATTTATTTCTGATAAAAGATTCTTTTTCTGCCTTAGAGAAAGGTTTCAACTTATTAGGAAACCCCTATCTTTATAAACATTGCCTCACTAGATCCTGTCTTGGCATCCTACTCAACTCTTCCCAAACTACCAATAAAATTTGTTCCTCTTGTTCAAACAGTTGTTCCCCAGAAACTGCACTAAAGTAGAGCACAAATATTTCAATATTTAATTGAGTATCCTTTCACAAGGAGTTTATTTTACTTAAATAACTTATTGCCAAATGAGCATGGCAAAAAACAAATTTTGAATTAGGTTTTACCCAGATGTTTCTTTTCCAGTTTCTTCTACCTAAAATTAGCTGATTTTAGCCCACAGCCTCTGACAAATAATTAAGAAACACTTACCTCCCTTCATGTGGGCTTGGTATGAGCTGACTAAAGCAGGTTGTCTTGTCATTGTAACCCACATTTGTTAAGTCAGGTTGATTGGGATGTCATCATTATTCTTTCTGCTACAATCAAAAAAACCTAAACACAACCCAAAGAAAAGTAAATAATATTTTCATCCCTTTTATGGTAAATGTTATAGATCTGATATTTGTCACCACAAAATGTTTCAATGATATGGAGAGTGGTGTGTTTGAGAAGACAATAACTTTTTTTTTTAATTGTTTTTTTTACCTTAAGGAAAAAAACAGAACCCAAATCCTCAGTTGCTACTTTACCCAACAATGCGATTTTCTTATTTTTGTAAAGATATGCATGCATAGCACTTCAGGTAATGAATCATGAAATGCATAAACATGTACCTTTAACTAAAACTATCTTTTAATTAGATTCAAACTTGATGACTGGTAAAATTTAGGTATGTTAGTTATAAATTATAGGTAAATATAATGAACACCTCTTTCTGTGCATTCTAACCACTCTGTTGGTTTTAGGGAATAAATTATTTCTTTCTCTTTCTTTGAAATTTTCTTCTAGAGAAGTTTTTTTTTAGAACCTATCATTACCATATATATTGCCATTATCATGGTAGCTGAAATTTGCATAATTTCCAAAATATCAGTGATTCCAGCATAAAAACACATCAGCTCTAAATTTTCAAATATTAAAAGTATCTTCAGCCATGAGACTACCATTCAAGTACTCTAATCCATCCCAGATGAAAACTAAACATTCCAATAGCTGGTGCATGTGTTATTATACCACTGAGAGGTTCTGTAAAATTAAACTCTCCTAGGAAATGGTGCAGCAAAAGAGGGATTGTAGCTATAACATTTATTTGTACTACAACAGAACTTCTCCCTCATGCAGGGTGTGAAATTCAGGCACAAGAGGCCTTTGTATTTCCATGCAAAGGTTTGAATAACAGAATAACCTAGTTAAGAAGCACATTTAAAGACTGAGTTTTTCAAACAAAGCACATATTTATTCTTATGATTCATTATAAGATCATACAACACCATTACTTCTGCAAAGCAGACAATATTGCATTATGAAGTAATATAAAATTACACAAGAGTTGTCAAAACAAGTGAACAAGAACTATGTACCACAAAATGTACTTCGGTTTTTATTTTACTTGTTCAGTTACTTACCCACAAAATAGAGTAATTTGCAGTAGATCTCCCAGTTGTTAATCTGAATTAGCGAAGTTCTGCTGCATTTGTCGGGCAATAATATGCATGAAAAAGAACACAACAAAAGAAGCAAATGACACAGGAACCATCTAATTGAAGAGGTTACATGGTTTTTTAATCATGATGCTAAAAAGCTGAGTTGCAGAAAGGTTCTGGAGGACCACGTGGCTAGCAATCCAAGAACAACTCTCCTTTTTTTTCTTTTTTCTTTTTTTTTTAGCTTCAGGATTTACTGAGAATAGTTTTATTGGTTGCACACTTTTTTTGGATATTCCTGGGCCATTCAAGCAAAGGCCATGCTTATATGTAAAGATGGAGAATAGGCAGTAAAAGATTTTGCCTCTCAGATATGTCAGATTGAAAGGACAAGGTCCCCATTCCCAGACTGTTGCAATCTCTCTTTCCATGCTCAGCTGAGCTGTTGCTACGGCCCTTTACCCCTGTGGCTTTTTCCAGGGCATCTCCAGTGTTTGTGGGTGACAGGTTGCTTTGGTCCAGCCACAAGCCAGCACCAAAGGTCTT